GCTTGTTTTACCATTTCCCAGTAGTTCTGGGACAATGTATCCTACTCCTCTAGCAGCCTTCTCGGCTGGGGCATCATTATGTTCGACCTCTCTGGGAACGACATTCGCCATTCTCTCCTCTGCAAATATGCAGCATACGAGAGTCGGTGTGATACTCGTAGGAGCTGCGATGATGGACGACGTTGTCGGCCTTGTTATGGTGAACATTGTTACAACCCTGGGGAGTGGGGGTATGGGTGGATGGCCAATCGCAAGACCAATAGCCGCGAGTTTTGGCTTACTTCTGGTTTCCCTTGGTCTGGGCGCTTATCTACTCCAGCCAGTTTGGCTCTACCTTGTCAAGTGTTCTCAGTCCGAGACAGTGACTAACGTTTCCGCGGGAAACAAATCTGATATCAAGGAAACCGCCCTTAAGCAATTCCGGAGAATTCCTAGCCTTGGGTTTCTTCTTTCAACATTGATACTGATCATTTTAGTCACTATTGCATCTTTCATCGATGCGTCTGTCCTTTTCGCCGCATTTATTGCCGGGGGCATAGTTAATTACCTATGGGATATCGGAAACCGTAGTATTGAAGAAGAACCGAGATCCAACCCAGCTCAGATGATGTACGAAGAGTACTATAAACCAATTATGGACTTCATATTGGTTCCCTTTTTCTTTGTAAGTATTTTCAAAATTATATCTTACTCTTACCATCCAGTACTGGGTCTTCAAGAGTCGGGACTGCTGGTAGACAACATGAGACGTTTACTTTCGGAACCGATTTGGCATACTCAATCCGCATGGAATGGTGGATCCTTCTTGGATAATAAATCACATCCAAACATTTATCCCATTCGGGACAATCAATCAACCGAAATTCTGGATTGAACCCTCCTCAAACATTCAAATTCAGCTTGCTAACCCAGACTATTGGACAAACTGCGAGCAATACTTAATTTTAAGGAACTGGACTGATGTGATCTATCTAGGCGTCTATTGGTTTCTCAATTCCAATTACAGACATGTTTAAAGCCTCCATCGTCTGGAAAGGCATTGTGTACTCTATACTCATGGTAATTGCGAAATGCCTAGTGAGCCTTGTTATATATTTCGAGTACTTCGCAAAATCCTGGAGCAAATCAAGAGAAACTCAATCGTCGACAGCAGAGTCTACTCGTGTTCCACATATAGAAGCCTTGCTAGTGGGGTTCGCCATGGTTGCTAGAGGAGAAATCGGGTTCTTGATTGCGTCCCTCTCACAAAGCTCTGGTACACTGTTGTTGAAGAATCAACAAAATACTGCCATTGTTTCCGGAGAAGCAGTTTTCCTTGTCATTGTCTGGGCTGTAGTGATTTGCACTATAGTCGGCCCAGTTGTCGTCGGCATTCTCGTAAGGCGAATCAAGAATCAAGCATTGGATCTTTATTGAATTTAGACTCTGATTGCATCCCCTACGAGGCTTACACCCTGAATGTCTTAGTTTAATATATCTAAAGAGTTAACAACGTTACCGGTGACAAATCGGAGATTTATAAAGTCAAAATAATACAAATGCTTGAAGCTAACCATGTCTCACTGGTAAGGCTGTCGATTAGATGTTGCAATTCGAGCCTTCGATCGGGAATCATTGGAGGTACCTGCAGCTGGATACATGCTGGAACGCACATCAATTAACATTTACAGTCCTTGCATGGAATATTTTGGAAGCAAATCTGTAGGGTTTTAAAGATCTGGGCAATGTTTGTCTCAACTCCGCGGTCTCACTACGGGTGTATACGAATATGGAAACTTTAAATGGAATTATACTTCGGATTAATATAACATCACTAAACCGCGACTCCCTGGGACCCTGAGAGATTTTGAAATGGAAAAATCCACAGACAATAAAATACGATCGGCTAGAGAATCTACCGGTAGAAGATCATCGTGTTTTAGTCTTCGTATAAGATTCAAGAGTCAGGACCGCGAAAGAAGACCCATTGACCCCGTTTATCACATGATAGAGAACTCCTGATTTGTGAAATTATGGTACTATTGGCTAGGCAAAAGGAGACCGTTGAAAGATGTTCGTCCCGCGACTCGCGAGTGCCTTGCCATGCCTAGTGACTTACCGAGGCCGATTTGAATCATTTGGCCAAAATTCTAAAAATAGAATTCTGCTTTACGCAATAAAAATTTCTATAATTTATATAATGCGTATATAGAAATCTTGGAAAAAATAATTATACTATCTAGATTGTGTTTCCTTTGTGTATTATTATAGTAATCAATAATAATATATCTTTATTTTTTGAATATAATAATAATAATAATAATGATATTATTATATTCTAGACTTTAGTATAAGAGTAGATCTTACTTTTTATTATTCTTGTAAAACTTATATAATTACTTTAGTGTATGTAATCTTATAATAAATAAATATGTTTAATGTAAACAAACAATTAAATCTATTAATCCTTTTATAAAAATCTTTAAATCAATTCCGAAATATTAGTATTAAGTTATATAATCGATTTAATAAAATGGCCTCTGGTTTTGTTTTTATTAATAATCCTTCTTTCCCTTAATCTGTTTTTATATTATTAGATTTAAGGAATAGAGATAACTTAATAGAGTTTATATTTTTCGAATCAATCTATTGTTACGAAGTGACACTAGCCCTTCCTATCCTGTCCTGTCCTGTCCTGCTATATATATAAAAGCAAGATAGAACTTCTAGTTCTACTTCCTAGTCTTTTATGCTTTTGTGGCATAGCGATAAAGCTTCTGAATGCTCCCAGAGGTGGTCCCGTGACAATATATTAGCTTTAAGAAAATCTAAAAAAGGGGGAGGGGCATTATATGATACAGTAGTAGGTGATATTGATTCTTATTTATACATATCTAAATACTAAATACGTTTTGAGCTCAGACAGAATTCTATTTTTAGGGTTTTGGCCAAATGATTCAAATCGGCCTCGGTAGACTGCCTAATGCCGAGCAATGTTGCTATTTATCATTTCAAGCCGGAGAAATCTTTTCTGCAATTGTCTCGGAACTCTTCCCGAAAAGAATAAAATGGGATCCAAGTATGCAAGGCTACCAAAGTGATGAGGAGAACTCGTATCACAGCCTGATCTGAGCCCCACACAATAATATAACCCGCATGATCCCTTGTCCTTGCACAGCATGCACTGTCAGACGGTTAGACGAGGTTTGCATGACAACTTACAAGCATGGGCAAATCTCATATAAATTTTGCCTTTATTATACGTACTTCCATGCCAATGATCTACTCCCCTGATTGGAATTTTTCAAGTTTCATTCTGTACATCTTTCGGACTGCTTAAGAGTTTCTCAAGTTCTTTTATATTCTGTACTTGAGTTACTTCAACAGTCTTCAAAGATGTCAACCTCACAGTACGGGGCTTTTTTGCCTCGACATCTCAAGGGATACTTATGGATTAGCTTTCTTGTCGCAGTATTCATTGTTATGGGATTGAGCGAAAACGATGTTATATTTGTTAACAGATCAGCAAGTTGGGATGCGACAGATGGTGGTCCATTATCACAAGATTATTCTATAAATCTGGATGTACCATCTACAACTCCTTTAGCATCCCCGCCAATCAGCGACGATAATAGCTATATAAAGCCGGCAGCAGAAGAACCAAGCAGGATCTACAGTAACACAGGTCTTGATCCGAAAGATGTCGTCATTTTGGTCAAGACTGGTGCTACGTCCATTTGGAGGAGGATGCCTATGCATATGTCGACCACATTGGGTAACAAACAACTAACTCCCAACATCGTCTACTACTCTGACATCGCGGACAATATCAATGGGAATCCGGTCATTGATTCTCTCGCAAACGTATCGGCAACTCTTAAAGCATCACCTGACTTTGAACTCTATAACAAAGCCAAAGAAGCTCTCAACGACAACTTGTACCAAGAGAGTGCCAGCATGGAGGGAGATTCGTACCTACCGGGTGGCTGGAGATTGGATAAATACAAGTTCTTGCCCATGTTTCAACATGCTGCTATTCATCACCCTGGCAAGAAATGGTATGTGTATATGGAGGACGATAACTATTTCTTCTGGGAGACACTTTATGCATGGCTTGCGACTTTAGACCACACATCTCCTCTTTTGATTGGATCGCCAGCCTTTAAGATGGGCGAAGATTTTGCTCATGGTGGATCCGGATTTGCTGTTTCTGGAAAGGCTATGGCAACTTCATTTGGTGCAGAGAAGACTTTGGCTGACAAGTACGAGTCGTATGCGAAGGAGCATTGCTGCGGAGATCAAGTACTTTCACATGCCATGAAAGAGATGGGTGTGGAGCGATTCAAGGAACTGGATGGAGGTGGATGGGCTGCCTTGCAGTCCCTTCCAACATGGAGAATTGGTTTTGGTGACTGGAACTGGTGTTCACCACTCATGAATATCCATAAAGTCCATCAAGCGGATATTTCCCAATTGTTCGTTTTTGAAAACCAGTTCATGCAAGAGACGGAAGGAAAGGGACGCATTCGTTATCGCGATGTTTTTAAATACTTCTTTGCTCCAAAGCTAGTTGCTGTACGCTCAGAGTGGGATAATTATGCAGCAGCCAAGTCATTTTCATCGACGGAAGATTCCTGGTCGCCCGAGTTAAAGGCCCTAACTGCGGCTCAGAAGAATGAAAGACCCTGGGCATCGAAGGAAAATTGCAAAAAGGCTTGTGTAGACTGGGATAAATGTTTGACCTGGAAGTATCAAGATGATAATTGCCATCTTGATCACACTGCGGCGATAGGAGCAAAGGTCAATGAGGGTGTTTATATGGAAAGTGGGTGGATGGTGGATAGAATCGGGAAGGTTCTTGAAAAGAAGGTATGTGGTGCTTTGGATTTTTAGACTTACAGGTTCCAGACCTCATGGTTCGGCGTTTTGGATTTTGATGCATTTGAATAGGCGAACGACATTTTAAATATAATAATATGATTCAATTTGATAATACAAGACAAGCTATTTATAGAGCCTAGATCTGCAACTTTAAGTGCCAGTACAGATTTATTTACATGAACTATATAGTTGGGAGTCCCAGTCCGAGTACATGAAATGTTTTATTTAGCCATCAGAAAATTCAATCGTTTGCTCATGTGTGGGCATTAAAAGCCTACTTCATTATGGATAATTTTAGAAAACATTGAACCTCATCTCAAACTTTTCTTATCGCAAATATTTCTTTCGACATCTCATTATACGCTATGTTTGAACCTTTTCCTTAGCCAGTTCGCCTATTCCATCCATCGCACTTTCCCCCCTTGACAAACTATTGTCGAAAAAATCATTATTCAATGTACATACCCAATCAATACAATCACCAACCCCAAGGTGACGCAACAACCTCACATTTATCCTCCATTAACGTCTCATTGATTCTCTGGATCATCCATCCACTATTGATCACCCTTTTATCCCATGAAGCCCGTCCCTCAATTTCTCTTCCTAGCATTACCACTACATCCAAACTACAGCTCTTCTCATTCTCGTTATTGATTTCGTGCTTCCAGATACGGCAAGTAGATAATGCGACGCACGCCGCCAGACACGCTTCAGGTGAAGTATAAGCCTGCTCAAGAGCATCTTTATCTTCTACGACGGGAGCAGGTGGACTCCAAGGTGAGTTGGTGATCGTGGTGATATTCTCTGTAAGTTTGTGACGAGATGCGGAATTGTCCCAATCATCACGGCGGTCTTTGAGGTAAGGTGATATTGTTTTAAGGAAAATGTCACGAAATATGATTGGTCGCTAACATGTTTCGTTAACACATTATTTAGGGTATCCATGATACTCATGGGATGACAACTTACCGAAACATGGTTATTATGACTATGCTGGCGCTCCAATAATGCCAGTTGAACCAGATCCCTCTGGTGCAAATGGTGAAACGTGAAGACTGGTTTGCACCATGAGAATTCGTCAAACCCTGTTTTCCAGGGTGGTTCGGGTCTGAATGACACTAGGCCATATTTCCCTCTGTTTACAAGCACATTATGATCGCGCAATACTTTGCCAAGAACCATGTCACCGCAACACTCACTTGCAGTGAATTTGGCATACTCTTTTAGAGTGGGGGTTTTGGGTCCAGTGAAAACAGACTTCATCAAAGACCTAGAGAATACGATTCCTGAACCTCCTTGCGCAAATATCGCATTGCTTTCTCCCCCGGGAAAGCCATAATATGACGGTTCATCGTCAGCTGAGAGTGTTGCAAGCCATGGGAGAAGATTTGACCAAAAGACGAAAGTGTCGTCTTCAATATAAACAGTCCATTTGAAACCGGGGACGTTCCTCTGAGCATGCTCTAGCATGGGAAGAAACTTGTATCTGTCTAGTTTCCAGCCTGGCTTATCCCCGGGTGGGAGTTCAGGTTCGTCACCCGGGAGCTGAGCTTGCTCTCTGTACGCATGAATGTTGGTATGTAGATCTCGGTATATGTCGTACGCAATTGTGTCATGTATCTGCAGAGTATCGCTCACGTTTTGCAAAACGTCCACTGTCTGGATCTCATGAGAAAGATTCTCTTGGAGATCAGAATATATTACACTGTTTGGCAAACTCGATAATGTCGTTAACAGCTGCATAGGCATTCGACGCCACGCTGTGCTTGCACCAGTCTTCATGATTAACAGAATGTCAGATGATGACACTGATAGCTCTGAACTTGGCACTGTAGAGGTAATGTCGGGTGTAGCGCTGGGCTGAGGGTGGGGTGATATTGATGGATACACCGCCTTCTCCGCAGACTTCGTAGGCTTCCCGTCTGCTAGCCGTCCAGGTTCTACAACAACTTCCGCATGAGGTGGTACAGCGAACTCGCCATCGTGTAGCTTCGGATGTACATCAAGCCTCAAGTAGCCATAATATATCGTCAGAAAACTCAATATGACAAAAATCAATGCAAGACCTCGTGGGCCTCTAAAAAATAGCATTATTCTTCAGCTGCAACATCTAGCATGATTCTCATAGGAAAATATACGACGAGGGATATGTATAGATCTGATAAAGTCAACAATCTTCGGAGAAGCGGTGGGAGTTTATGCATTCAATGCTTATTAAGGGCGATACAAGGATGTTGTCCATACGAGCCAAGAGTTTGGGAAGAAAGGTCCACATGAGGCAGGGGAGCCCTGATCTACGCATTCTCACCGGTTTATGTCAAACAAAAGGGGCTTTTGTTATTGTTAAGGTTTATTTGAAGATTTACCTGGAGCACATCAAGGGGGTTCTCCTTCGGTATCCTGCGCTGAGTAATTGAGCCCATCCCCACTCTTACTCTGTTAAAGTTCATTCAATACTTTATTTAAGCTTCATGCATGATCAACCCAATGATAATGGGGCCATATGCAAGGCTACCAAATGCTACCTTGCATTTGAAAAGTTTCTCGAAGAGTTTTAATGACATGGGAGGCCTGGCGGAAATTACCAATCCATCTTGATGCAGCACATTAAGGTTTGTTGCCTCCTGCCTACACTCATTACCTAGTATCTGCTTCCCCGTATACGGAACAGACGATAGAAATTGTTTTAATTTGATCGTCATCCTAAAAATACTAAGCTCTAAAGTCCCGCGACTTGACCGATTAGTCCAGTAGGGAGAGACAAGGTCAAGCCAATATGATCATCGTAAGTATAAAGACTTAGCTGCATGGGCTGCAGTAGAAAATGCTCCAGTGGCACTTTTCCATTGTTCAAAGCTATTTTATACATTCTTTTGGTCACCCATTCGTTTGTGCTATCTATATCTTTCGGGTTCTATTCTTCAAGTGTGAAAGAGGGGCCATGCCTGTGGTACCTGTATTACCGTCTTTGCACAGGCAAATCTTCAACGGCATCCTTTGCGTCGTCACATTCTTTTTAATTTTCCGTTATTTCAGAAGATATGTCACATTTGCCCCAATTACCATTGAAAGTATATGGCAGATCTCCCTAGCGGAGATTAATCGCAGCAAAAATGTTGAAAGAGTCAAGCAATTAGAACAGAAACTTTCTTTACAAGATGCAGAGAAGGGAGTCCAGACAAAAGATGATGTGGCTGCGAAGTGTATTGCTTCTGTAGTTGGATATCGTGAGGAGGCAAGTCTGTGGAGGAGATTTTTACAGAGTTATCATAATTCCCCCGGTCTAGAGATTATGCTCATTGGAATCGATGGGGATCATGATGGAGATATGGAGATGGTTTCTGTAGCACAGGATGTGTGTATTCCCTCCTTCAACCTCCAAGAACGCTCAGCAGTGGTCTAGAAACATCGAAAGACTAACAAACGTCCCTCTGAAGGTATTTCCAGATCTCATAAAAATCCACGTTGAAGAACCATATGGTCCTCTCGCTGTCCGCATTGCTCAAAACTACATCACCCGCGAACTCTACGACGAAAAGTCCTCATCCACAAAATGGGCATCCACACCTACATCATTCGACTCCACAGATGTCCCCCCGGCTCTTCTATCCGAGGCTCACGCATATGCCTTCCGCACTGTGTTCGAAAAAGCGCTCACAGCCCTCCGTGAACATAATGCTCTATCGCCGTCCCGCGATTCTAAGACCAGATCCCTCCACCCAATATGTCTCTACCAACCTCACAAATGCAAAAAAGATATCATGTTTACTAATATGGTTTTCGCTTTGGCATTGGGACAGGGGAATAATATTGAATACTTGTGGACTAGCGATTCTGATACCATTGTTTATCCGGATACTTTGTACCAAACAGTCGGTTGTATGTCTGCGGATCCGTTAATCGGAGGTAGTTGCTCGGCTCTGAGCATTCATAATGATCAGGAGAGTGCCATTGCTGCTTTGGGTAGTGCAGCTTATTGGTCTGAGTAAGTATCTCATTCTTCTAACTATTTGAAACGGTTGCATATCTAATAATGTCGCATTGCAGGTTAGCCATTACACGTGGACAAACCGGAGCCGTAGACGCTGTAGACTGTCAACCTGGTCCATGTGCCGCTTTTCGTCTCACAGCTCTTGAGTCTATTCTTTTACCATGGTACACGCAAACTTCTCTTGGAGTCAAAACTGTCGTCAACGAAGATCGTCATCTAACCACCAATCTCCTCCTTCAAAACTGGAAAGTGACCTTCAACACATCCGCGCTCGCCTCTACCGATACCCCTACCACACTTCTCCGCTGGCTCCTTCAACAAATGCGTTGGGCCCGCGCTACTCATATCGAATGTTTCCAATATCCGCAAATCTACTCTATTCACGGCGTCATCCTTTTTGTAACAGCTATGCGTCGTTTCTACGGACCATTGATCATTGGTGTCTTCACTATTCGTTACGTATTCACAGGTTACACCGTGCATGCATTCCAATCCTGGGATTTCCTCCTTCGTGTGGCTTTATGTACATGTTACAACTTTTGGCGCAATAAATCACATGTGGCTAGTATTAAATATCTCGTTCTTTCTCAGTTATTTTATCAACTGCCTCTACCGGGAATTATGTTCTGGTCGGTTGTTACGGTCTTAGAGGGAGGGATGGGAACGAGCATGAGAAGTGCGAATGAACAGAAGAAATCGAGATTTGCAGGGTGGGATAACCTCTGGAGTACTACTGCAGTAGTTATCTGGATGGGCTTCGTGGGAGCGGCAGTTGCGAGATGGGTTACTTCGTATCTTGCGCCGGCTTTTATTGTGGAAGCGATGATTTTTGCGGGAGTAATGTCGGTGGGGAGTTTGTATTGGACTTTACTTGGGTAGACTTTGATATATGATTTAAAGTATAAAAATAGGCGGTATCAATGGAATGGGCATATGGTCAACACTCAAGAGGCTGGTTGGATTGGGATTGGGATTAGATAGGCTATATTAATATTGGGATACCTCTAGGTTCAGGAGGTAAGATACATGAATAATCGAATAGACAAGTAGTCATGAGAAGTACCTTTAAAGGCTCATATGAAAGCAATGTAATTAAACGTTTTCAAATACAAAATCTGTGGCAGGGCACCTGACGTTCAGATCAATTTCGTGTAAATGAAGTTGAATGAACTGACCTAGTGTATGAAATGACTTGAATGCTTGAAATAGTATAAATACATAAACACTTACCACAAATTTGAAATTTGTGATGGTTTGAATGTCCAAAACTATTTCAATGTTTGAGGAGACTTTGAATACCTACTACATTACAGTAAATTGTCTACAATAAATAGAATTAGAGGCGAAGGAAGGATTGAGACATATACGAAAAGTGCAGGCAGTCAAGCGAGGTCTCAAAGCTAGTCGTCGCCTAAAATATCGATTCTACTACAATATAAAATGCAACATACTGACTACCTAGATATCGACTATTGTGTCCATGACCCAAAGCTATCCCCACTCCATCTAATAACATGTCATGTCCCCCACTATCACGTGTCAGAAGCCCCTCCAAAAGCTAGTGCTAGTGTTTGATGTGGGGTTGAAGACAAGTTTTTAATCTCATTATATTACTAAATCAGAACATTGCCCGTAACAAATTTGCGATATCCCTTCTATGGTGTAATGGTTAGCACGTCGGATTTTGATTCCGGAGATATTGGTTCGATTCCTATTAGAAGGTTCTCTTACGAACATTCTTTCATTCCATACTTAGTTTAAATCTGAGATTAAAGGGTTTGTCGCATTCTTTTTGACTTTTTTTGCCTCTCGTTTTGAGATCTTAACTTTTGAGGGCGGGGTAGTATTTGGGAGCGTAGCGAAAAGAAACTTATACGTCGCATTTTACAGACTTTTTATAAGTCGGGTACTCTACTTCTGATTACTCCTGTTTTAGACCACCATTTTACATTAAAAATCACTTTTTGGGTCTATTAATATCTTTATTAATATATAATAGAATTTAATAAAATTTTATATGTATATAATTTAGATTGTTTTAAGCTTATTCTGAAATTTTTAAATTTTGGGACTTTTTTGGATTGAAATTTAGAGTTTCAAAATATCGATTCTCAAATTTGTATAAGAATCATATACAAATTTAGAATTTTTATAAAATCTTTAAATAATTTTTAATAATAATTATTTAAAAAAAACTCTAACATTTTGTTGAAAGTTTTGAATTTAAATTTATATAGAAATTTATATAGAAATTTATATAGAAATTTATATAGAAATTCAAAACAATTAATAGATATAGAAATCTAGTATATAGTGAGTTTAGTGTCACGGGGTGACCACTAAGCCCTTTCTGTCCTGTCCTGTCCTGCTATATATATGAGAGTAAGGTAGACCTTCCAGTTCTACCTCACAGTCTTTTGGGCGTTTAGCTCGCGGTAAAGCTTCTGAATTGTTGGTTCAATAATGAGATCAGGAATACGAGAGACGTGGTTCCCACTATCCATTAGTAGGCCCCTAAATGTCTGTAGTGTATTTCTGTCTAAAGAGCTAGCTATGAGGGGAAATAGTAGGCCTTTATATAGGCACTACTTGAAAGAGCTAGTCTCCTTCACATTCGCCTAAATACCTTTGATACAGGAGCCATTATATTGAAGTCATTCTTTTAAATGAATTCCCCTTATTCACACATTCGGAACTCTCTTTTATAGCTTCAAATACAATGACTAAAAAGAAATTCATAAAATCATAAAAATCCTCCATTTACTAACTAAAATCCCTAACCTTTTACTAGCAAAACCAATCTCTTCCTTTAATCCCATTCCACCCACTTTATTGCCTTGATATCGATCTTATTTGTATTGATCAGATCAACAAGAGCTTGACATAGCTTTCCTTTCGTTATCGCATCAACCGGATTAGTCGGACCATCAATTCAGATCACTTCAACGATCTCTCTCCGTTTGTAGGATTGATGTAGTGTTATGATATTGATCATTAATCTCTTTTTACTAGTTATTTCTAGTTTTATAAATAGATTATATAATGACTTAGAATCAGTGTACACAACTAATAGAATCTTCTTACCAAGAATAATACTAACTATAGAAGTGATTACTATACCAATATCGAATCCCTGAACTAATCCATATAGCTTGAATGTTAAAACACTGT